ATAAGGTCTTTGTCCTGTGTTCATGTCCTTTAACAAGGTACTCCAAGGATTTTCTTTGGGTTGTCCCTGGTTCAAGTGCGTGGCTTCACTTCATAGATCGATAACTGGTCTGCACCCGGTTGATATTTGCTTTTTAAATAATTGTTTTTTCGAATTTTTGGCCGTCTTATTTTCTGGATGCCTTTTTTTTACCAAACGTAATTCTAAGAGCTGAGTACAACAGGAATTCTTTTTTGTGCGTGTATTTGTGAAAAAGTTTCACTACCAATCGACAATCTTCATGTTGCAGTTTCTAGCTTCGGCAAATATGCTATGAACCTCAATCACTTCATTGGATATGATGGTTTCAAAAGCAGAGGACAAATTGTTAGTAATAATAAGGATAATAGAGATTATAAACTATTTGTAATCTTTTGCTGTGCAAGAATGTAAAGGTTTCTGTGATGAAATTGGGTAAACTGATTTTTATAACTATGTGGAACTTTTTTCTGAGATTAATAACAGATTTGTATGTGAATACCTCAACGGCATGTTGGTTTAATAGAATGAAACAGGATTAGAAGATATCGAACCAAGTCTACCCGATTCAAGAAAACTCACCCAGCCTCCTGCGGAATACATGGATCTCATAGAAGTCAACAAAGATAATAGAAAAGCACAAAGAACAGCTCCAGGTGCTGATTATGTGCCTCTTCATCCGTTAACACGCTGCTGGGAAGTTCCAAGACATCACGTGACCATAGAAAAAATTATTGGTAAAGGTGCTTTTGGTCAGGTTGCCAAGGGAACAGCGGTAGGACTTAGAGGGAGTCCTGAAACGACTACAGTGGCTATTAAAATGCTGAAAAGTGAGCTTTTGTACCGTAAATTGAATGACTGTCTTGGACTTCAGTAATTCAGGAAATTTTACCGAGTTACCGTATTTTTTAGCTACTTACCATTTCATGATTATAACGTATGTTATTGTTTCGGCATTTCGCATTACCTTCCCTCTAACCAAATTTTACTCCTTGTTTTTATTGCTCCAGCAAACGCTACTGAATCGGACAAGAGAGATTTGATGTAAGAACTTGACACAATGAAGCAGCTGAAACCACATTCTTACGTCATTAAACTTCTGGGATGTGTTACAAAATCTGGTATGCTTTGGTTATGCGGGTCTAATTTTATTGTGCACATTTTGCTTATGATTTACTCTGACGTTTTTTCGTCATTAATAATTTGCTCCAATGGAGCACAACAAAAACCATCGCATGAGGTAATTTTATCTTTTTTTAACCGACATAGACGCTCCTGGATTTACTGATAGACTAAGACCAAATATTTGCCTCTGAACAAATCATTCTCTTGTGTAAGTAGAAACACGTTTTGGAAGAGGATATTTGGTCTTTACCCTCTTATTAGACCGTTAAATATTTTTTCTCCTTCTCTTCGTAAAACTAAACCCTTATTTTCGTGCGATTTCTTCAAAAGTATTGACCACGA